AAACTACTATAGTATATTGGGTTTTGAATGGGATAATGGAAAATACTGCAGTATGGCGATCAAGACAAAAAAGATTCGGGAGCTCGGAATGGTGCTGACATGCAGTAGCACGGGCCTTCTGCTCTTTCTTTCACCCGCTTGGGCACCTGGCGGCATGGTCCCCATCATCGTGCTGTCATGAGACTTCATCGTCACCGCCACTTCTTCTAAACGATCTGCATGACCTACGAACATTTGTCGCGCAGCTTCCCTTGCCCAACAGTCAAATACATCTGTCGCAAATCCCAAAATCGTTAAATCGCCGGAGTGATGACATTGGCTGTAATGTCAGCTAAACCAGTCCCCCTTTAGTTCTTCGAGCACAACCAACAAGCCGAAGGCTCCTTGTGCCATCACATCGCTTGCTACCTGACAGAAGGTTGTCAAGAAGGTCAACATGTTCCCCATTTCATGTCATGGTACTTTTTCTTTTACATTATCCCAATANNCCCATCATAATAGTTTCCATTTTCTTTTCGATCATCCAAATATAACCCCAATATACTATAGTAGTTTCCATTTTATTCTCCATTATCCCATTATAACCCCAATATACTATAGTAGTTTCCATTTTCTTTTCCATTACAACCCATTCTCTAGGCTAGCAGGGTGAGGGGAGTGGTATCAGGGACAGGACCCTAAACCCTAAACCCGAAACCCTAAACCGTTGCTTGGGAGAAGTCGGAGGAGATGCTCTTAAAATCTCACAGCCGGCCTGTGTGACCTCCAGTTCGTCCTCTTCCGGCCTGTGCCAGCTAATCCCCGCTCCAAAGACTACCAGATGTCCCTAAATACTAAACTCCTAGCATCCCCCTTGAGAACCCCTGTAGTAGTCCCCTATAATCCCCTATATAAGCCCGTTTAAGGAATTCAGACTATAGCTCACATCCCTATGATATCCCTAGAATCCCTGGAATGTGCATGAGGAGAAAGCATCTGCATCAGGATATGGACACGACCTATGCCCACAAATTCGACTAGACAACCCCTACATCCATGCATACATAATCCCTTTATCCCCATGCAACCCCTACATCCATAAAGAACCCCCTCTATCCATACATAATACACGCCCTATATCCCCATATAACCCTAAACCCTCAACCCTAAACACTAAACCCTAAACCCTAAACCTTCAACCCCAAACCCTAATACCCAAACCCTCAACCCTAAACCCTCAACCCTAAACCCTAAACCTTCAACCCTAAACCCTAAAACCCCAAACCCCAAACCCTCAACCCCTAAACCCCCCCCCCCCGCAACCTGTCTTCCTCCGCATCCTCTGCCAGCTTCGCCAGCTCCGCTTCGGCTGCGGGAGCCTGGGCTTCCTCGGCTCCGCCGTCTGCTTCGCCTGCACTGCTTCTCCCATTGAAGGGCTTAGGGTTTAGGGTTTAGGGGTTTAGGGTTTAGGGTTTAGGGTTCAGGGTTTAGGGTTTAGGGTTGAAGGTTCAGGGTTTAGGGTTGGGGGTGTAGTATCCCTATGTACACTACATAACCCCCTAAGTCTCTATGTAAACCTCTATATCCCTATATAACCCCTATAACCGTATATAAACCCCTATATCCCTATATAAACACCTATAACCCTATATAACCCTCCTATAACCCTACATAAACCACATACATCCACCCATCGACGTACAAGCAGGGAATGAGGGAATATATTCTATGGGGACTATGTAGGGATCATATTCCCTTATTCCTTCCTACAGTCCCCCTTAAGTAGATAGAATATGGGGTAGATGGGGACCTTATTATGATCTACCCAAAGCCATATTCCATCTACTTAAGGGGGACTATAACCACCAGTCAGTTAAAGGCCCCTAACGGAAGCCTCCCAAGTAAAAAAGCCTGCCTGCTTCAGGCACTGCGGGAGGAATCACCTACAGGGCCAGTTTGCCACTTTGCCACAGATGACATGGGTGGTTCTCAAAGTTATGGGTCCCTGTGTTGGTTACAGGTTATATTACGGCACCCAATATTTAGGGGTAACAAAATGGGACCCGAATTTTAGGAACTACCCACATAATGAGACGGAGGCTCTGTGTGTGTGTGTGCTTGCCGTGTTCTGAAAGATGCAGAGTCGGACCTGATTCTCAGATTTCAACCATCTAGACGTGCCGCGCTGGCATTTGGACGTGCCAGCCTCCTCCACTGCAGTCTTCTGCACCTCCTCATCAATGCCTGTCAGCAATTGTCTTGCGTGGCAGTTTGCGGAAGCGGCGGTGTTAAACAACCCAGCAGTTCACCAGCAGTGCTGAGACTGCGGAGTTTGTTCCACCCAGTGCGTTTGTGTGAGGTGGGGGTGGGGGGAAATCTATGAACGTAAGTCATCCAGGCCTGCATCCATGGAGTCCTGAGCAGAGGAAACGTTATCTTCACCTTAGAACGCGGGTCTTGACAATAATGCACTGGAGAGGTGAGACTTTGACAAGTACACAGCATGAGACGCATGAACGGGTAGCTGCGGCAGTGCACTTTTCCTTCTTGTTGTCCTTCTCCTTCCTACTCTTCTCGCTTTTCTTGTTCACATATTTCTCATCACTTGTCTTCTTTTCGTCTTCTCCTTATTATTGTCATTATCGTTCGTCTTTTTCTTCATCTTATTATTCTTCCTTGTCTTTGTCTTCTTCTGGTCATCTTCCTTCCATGATTGCTTCCCTGTCATCTTGTACTCCTCTGCTCTTACTTTATGCACAGTCCACCGGCGCTGCTGCATGTTGAGCTCTCCACCTGTTGGTGACACGAGGGGCGCCTGTGCACGTCTCGGAGTGCACAAGCACTTCAGGATACAATAATCACCCAAAAATCAATTCGGTTTGCAACTTCGTGCCTCTGTCTTCATCCCAACAATTCGCCCCTTTGGCTCTGGTTGTTGGATGGGGATGCTATACTATATGGAATTTGGAGGTATGGCAACTCAGGTACAGTAGCATTTCCAAATGAGACCTACCTAAAACCCTCCCAACATCTCCCAAATCTTCTGGGCCTCAGCTTTGGCAGCAACCTCGGCGGCCTCGCTTGACTACTGTATGCTTGGTGGAGCCCTGCTGTCACCATCGCTAACAACACCACAGTGGGCACTGCTTTAAAAAAGGAATCTCGGAATAGATAAACTGGGCCTCTGCCTGGATTTTCACAGCAGACTGCGCAAATCGAACATGTCTGGGGAGGTCTCCCCATGTTATGCAACACGCATCTAGCTGCTGTCCAGTGACGCCATGATGCCTGTGGCTCCACACTCCCTACGCTAGCTCCAAGCCTAAACGCTAGATCTCAGCTCAAGCCTAGAGCACTGGAATCCACGACCCTGAACTAAGCTCTGTACCTTCGCAGCGTCGCGCTCTTCTGCGACCTGGCAGAAGCTGTGGGACAAGTTCGCGACATGCTCATCTTTACAAGGCCTGCCCACGAGAGCATCATATATGGTCCACGTAAGGCATAAGACAAAGTTTCGTAGCAGCCTGCTTTTGCGCTAGTCACGGCTCAGGCCTATGCATGCCAGTGTCTGTGTGTGTGGGGTTTAAACTTGAGCTGGTGGCCTTCCGCTGCTTTGCCGCGCGCCGTGCGGCGATCTGCACCCACGCTTTCAAGAGGCTACTGCACGGCCGCCATCCAGGCATTCAAACAATCCACAGCCATCAACAGCAGGGCATAAGAATCGCCCCTAAACCCGAACCGCTAAACCCTGCTTGAGGTTGGAGGGCAATTGCCCTGGGTAGTGCCTGCTCTCGCCGCTCTGTGGCCGTCAGGCCTCAGGGTGCCGAAGCAACACCGTCCCGGGACGAAACCCGGCACTGGGGATCTCTAGGGCATGCGAGCTATAGTCTTAACTCCCAGTATCCCCCTTAATAAGCCCTATAGTAGTCCCCTTTGCACTCCCCTATATATCCCCCCTGTAAGGAGTTTAGACTATGGCTCATATGTATCAGGTACCACTGGCGCATTCCACAACTGAACCATGATACTTTTTTGGCGGTCAATGCAGGTTGCTTAAGGCAGCTTTCACATACTCAGCCGCCCGCTTCTCTGGGCCGATCGCTTCGGCGCAGCCCTCACAAAATTGAGACGTAGGAAGCTGTCAGGTAGCCTTTAACATAGCTCCTAGTCCGTACCAATCTTTTTAAAGCTCTCCACGTGTTGCAACCTACTGGTAGTGACACCTGTGTATTGTGCGAAGGTCTAGAGTAGTAAACAAGTTGAACAGTGATTGCTAGTGATGTAGCAAAAGCAGCAGGATGAGTATGCTCATCGTTGTTGTTGTATTGTTGTTGCCGCGGGAGGAGTGTTGGCACTAGTCATAGCAGCAGCAGCAGCAGCAGCAGCAGCAGCAGCAGCTTTAGGAAGTGCGAGGAATAGGAGTACCAACTATAGCAACTGTAGAAATGATACAGCAGCAGCAGCACGAGTACTACTGCAGCAGTGCAGTCAGCAGATGCAGCTGTGGCAATTAGCCACGCCTGCTGCTCCGGCGTTTCCCAATTTGAGGGTCCCGTATAAAATGGGCTTCCCAAAAAGGGCGGGACTCCAACTACACCCCCAAATACCAAAATCCCTACTAAAGGGGCCCCCAAAAGGGAACCATAGCTTATGGGAACTCTCATATATGCTACGAATTCGGGGATCATTGCGTGATCACTCCCAGAGTGGTAACCCAATGGTTAGAGACTCCCAGTCGCTGCGGTTAAGTCCTGCATGACCCCTAAGTGCCTTAATTCTTGGGAACTGTACAATATCCTGTTGTTGTATACTACTAAAGTGGCAACAGTAACTGTGACATGTGACATGGTCGCGTGTCCTCTGCTGCTGTGCTGCCAGCAGCTCCTCCGCTCGAGAGACGTGGAAGCCCATTCGGCGGCAGAGGCCCTGGCAAGACTGCAAATAAAATGGAAACCTGGGGTGGGGTTTAGGGTTTAGGGTTTAGGGTTTGGGGTTTGGGGTTTGGGGTTTAGGGTTTAGGGTTTGGCTGGGGTGGGGTTTGGGTTAACTTGAAGGAATGGAAAGAAAGTGGTAACTACCATAGTCCTGGGAGTACCTTGAGGCTACTATGGGGATCCATTCCTCCGTTCATCACTAACAACCAGTAAGAAGACTGGCAGCTGAGGCGGCTTCTGCAGAATCTTGAGCTGCATGTGGATTGCCAAGGTTATTCTTGCGTTTAGAGTTTAGGGTTGTGGAGGGATTGTTTTCAGAAAATCTCATCTAGGCTTGGAACTTCGTGTCACAATGGGGTTTCGGTAACCCCGACCCCGAATTTGAACCCTAGAATAGTCATATGATGGTTTACAGTTTTAAGGTCCTCATTTTGCGGCTGGGGGTCTAATAGAAATTCCTCAGGCACATAGTCATCGCTGATCAGAAAAACAATGATAGGATCTGCACACGTTAGGGTTGGAGGAAATTTACTAGGCAAAGCGCATGCATCTCATCGATTGCCCTGGTTGTTAGAAGGGGCATAAACAATATCCCTATACCCTTGTTCCCTCCTAGGCCCAGGTAAGCATATCACAACGTCAAAAGATTTGCTGGGGACAGCATGTTCAATACATGTTGGCCAATCTGTTCTGCAACAGTTCCATACCCCAACTCCAGTGCCCTTAAAAGGAGGGGGGTTATTAAATTACAGGTCTACATTAGCAAGAACTGCAAAACACCACGATCTTAACAGGAAGTGTAGTCGAGTGTTAGTGTTCACACCTGCTGCACTCGAAGTCCACGATGAAAAACGGATACTTCCCGAACACAACGAAGCATCGTTTGGATTGAGGCAAAGATCGGCAAGTGAAGTCCGAGCCCTCTGGCCATGCGCGGTCAGGATACTACTGGGTTGGCCCCTAAAACCCTTTGAAAAATATTGATTCAAGCCATTAGGGAAAATATTAAATATCCCAGGGGCCTACCCAGACTACAGGAAGCTTTGCCAACGCAGGAGATGAGGCATGCAGCCATGCAGCAAGCAGCCTTTGCGATGCGGATCAGCGACATCTGCACAGCCAAGATATGGGGTGGTGGCCAGACCTTTCTGGTACAAGGACATTCAGGCTCTGACAGGAACTCAAAAGACAGACAGATAACATGAGCACAGTCATGCAGCATGGTTCTTGTCGGCAGCACGTTGTCATGTCTCGAAGGCTGTGTCATCTGTTTACGAGTTCTGCTATGAAGAAGATCAACCGAGATGCTGCCGTAGCTGGAGGTCTTGAGTCCACTCTCCTCACTTCGCACATCATTCACAAGCTTTCCTATGCAAGATCTGCTCATTGCGGGGTCCATCCATGCTAGGAGTCTAGCTCAATCGCTGGCAGGCATTCAACCAATCTGATTATAGTCTCAGGCGATCAAAGATGTGCCATGTTATGCCTTTAGTCGAATTTTGTTCCATTGGGCTAGAAAAATTCGTTGCCAGCATGTCTCCGCATAGAGAAATGGCCCCAGATGTCGCCAGATGTCGACCACACCTGGCCCCATTCTAGACGAAAAAGGGGAGAGCACAATGGGGTCTGGTGCTAGTTGGTGCTAGTAAGGGGACATGCAGCAAACTGCTGCCATAGTCGAGATGGGGTGACATGCGCACACAATCTGCGGTTTCTGGACTGCAAGCAGCAACCTGGGATCCAATTTGCCTGGACCACCATCTGGTTGTACCCTCGCTGTTTCAGAAGCAGGTGTGGGAAACGCTCATGACTCAAGGTCTCAAGTATCCTCGAATGGTTTGAGTTTTGGCCACCCCCCAAGCCTAGCAGGGTCTGCACTTACGCTTTCGAGTCAGGTGGTAAAACCACGCGGCGGCACACTCGCGCATCTGAGGGTAGAATTTGTACGTATACCCCCATTGGGGCCCATCCCTCCCTCCCCCGGAACGGTACGGGCGTCATTTCGCTAAATGCCCGCTCTGAGTCACGCGTTTAAACCTGGTTTTTACTCATCATATGTTGAAGCCGCAGGGGCAGAACACTCACCCATCCGATTTGAATTTCAGAAGCGTTGTTTCACCAAAACATGCAAGAGCACTGGCATTTAAGTACTGGGGATGCTGCCCCTGTGATTTGGGGCTAGCTTGGGCCAGTCCAGGGTCAAAAACCAATGGACAAAAAAGCAAAAACATCATGCTCCAGCTCAACTCCCCCAACTCCAGACTGAAAAGACTCAAGAACAAACTTACTGGCTCTTACTGGGGAAGAAGGGAATACAAACCCTACCTAGAGCCTATATAATGAATTCTCATACTCCCGACGAAGCCCCAGTAAGCAAAGACCCTAAACCCTAAACCCTAAACCGCGTCTTTGCCTTGACTTCCTTAGCCGAGTCCACAGAGACCAGGGCCGGAGGGCTCCCGGTGATCACCTGACCCAAGACGACATCAGCTGGCAAAGAAGTGAGGC